AGAGTATTGGAACGTCTGATCACAGCATCATAATATCCACATAGCTGGCTTGCCAGAGGGAATTTATTGCACTCAAGATATACTGTATGGAGACCACACTTCTGGAAGCCACAGCAAGCCCTGTGTCCAGAAGTGGACAGCCCCTTAGAAAAGGAAATGGGCCACCCTGCTCAATTTCCTTAACAAAGACATCGGTGCTTCCTTTTTATCCAGAATTCAGATTGGTGACAGCCTTGTAGTCTTGTGGTGGGAGCGACATACAGTGCACAAGAGTGAGGTGATCAAAGAGTAAAGCAGGCATCCATTTTTTTTTCTGCTGTACCCCACAGTGAAATCAAATCCTCCATGCTGGTGGATAGCATCTGTCTACCACACCACAGGAGGCAGAGGAGTAGATCACAGTGAAGTGGATTGCTGCACCAATTTTAACAGAGTAGACTTTTATCTTCTTTTTCTCTTTCAAGTATGCTAGTGTTTTTTTCGATAATATGGCTGTGCACATAGGTAAGATCAGACATACATGTGTCACCTCCACTATTTCTTTTGTGTATGCTTTTCCTTGTTAAAACAGCCTTTTGTACTGAGGTACAAAACACAGAAACGGAGGAAACATGCTTATTTGGAACTTCTACATTTACTGTTGCATTCAATACATGTAACTTACAATCCTGTGTGCATTTGAAATTTGTTTTAGGGATTTCTAAAGGTGGGACTGTATTCTTATTGTTTTTCTTTTATGAAAGATAATTTTTTTGCTTTGATGTGTTTGACTGTGAGGAGGGGGAGAAGATGTTCATGTTTTGGCTCTTGGGTTTGAAAAGAGGAAGAAATTGGAAAATGAGAGATTTCTAGTTGGGGTCCCATTTCTTTGGAAGGCAGATTCCCAGTTCTGTTGCTCAGAATGGGGTATGGTTGGGGGGGCCTTTTAAACAGTAAGGTTAGAAAAATCATTTCTGTTGCTGTTGGTCTTTCACTTCATTTTACTATACAGCTGCTGTATGTACATTATCTATTCAATTATTGATATTATTTATTAACCTTTGACATCAGAATTGATCTTTGATACCCATAATTACTGTTTCTGCCTTGTATGGATTTCAGTGAGCATTGGCAAAATAGGTGTTCTATTTTTGTACTTTCTGGAAGTGGTTTTTAACATTTCTCCCAGTGAGAAACTATTTGAAATAAGCAAATGGATGATCCTTGCTTTGGTAAAAGTGAATGAGAGAATATGAAGAGAGGAAAAGGGATAAATGTAGAGGAAATGTCATAAGTATGTATTCGAATTGTATTGTTACATTGTTCCGCATAATCTTAATAATGTTAATTTCTTTTCACTTTGTGAAAATCAAGAGAAAAGTACTAGATATTGTACCTGTATTCCAGTTGCATACATTTATGACAGAGGCGTGACTACAACTGCTATAGAGGTGTTTATAAGTAAAGGTTGAATGAATAAACAATCAGAGAGGGGTTGCCGATTGTGTAATAATTTATCAAAGTAGGGAGTATTCTTTAGATAGGCACACAGTACAGAAAAATATTGCAGGGTTGTTACTTAACCAATAAAAGACACACAAAGGACCTGGTCCCTCTTCTGAACGCCAGCACGTACAATTTGGCCCCATGATGTGAAAAACAGCAAATGAATGTCGTGAGCACTCTAAGGTCAATGAGCCTTTTCTGTTACATTGCAGCTGGGACCTGTGACATTGAAAGATTAGAAATTGACCGATAGACGGTACTGTGCCAAGTATTTTAGCTTCTATTAACAGTTACAATTCTAAGCCTTTCTTCACTGCTACAAAGGGTTTCATTTTCCTTCAGGGATATTCATTTATTTAAGCTAAGTGTACCTTTAAAAACCTTTGCAAAAAGAAGAGTGCCACACAACTTCCTCCAAACTGCCATAGAACCCCTTTAATGCCGACCTTGTTAAACCTTGTTTGGTTTGCACTTTTTTCCATCATGTGTAGCACTCAAACGCACACAAGAGACCTTGAAAATTACATCATCTGAAACTAGGAGAATATATTTGAAGTTTTTTTTTAAATGGAAAAAAAATATCCCTTTAAAAGTTTCTTTGTCAAAGTATTTTTTTCTTGATTGTGTGTCCATGGAAGGTCAGGAGGTGGTAGATCTGATCTAAAAGAGAAGAATATTTCATGATATTGTGTACAGGTAAGCGGTAACAAATGGAAAGACCTAGATAAACAAGGGAAAATGAAGGTATAATGAAATTTGAAAGCAACCATGGGGTGTCGCTCATTAATTAATTAAAGAAATCACAACCCAGCAAGCTTACAGTCTAGTATAAAAATCCTGAAAATGTTTGGAAATTATGGCTAGCATTACTGTTAGAGGAAAGCCCAGTGACAGAGAGAGAGAGGAGTAATTGTTGGAGCACATTTGGCAGGAGCTTCAATGATCAAGATAGCTCCACTTACTGATGTTTCATAGGCAAATATGTCTAAGGTGATGTCAGGTTGCGGTGCATGAATCTCTCATTAACACCTGCAATGCATGTTTGTAACGTAAAAAAACACAGACAGTGGACTACTGAGCAGTTAGAAATGCGATATGATCAGATGAATTATATTTCACCATGCGCTCATCAAAGGTGTGGCAGCACATGCGACATCGACTCAAAGCAGTGAAGGACTGTGGTCTGGTGGTTCTGTACTTTAGTGCGCTGCAGTTTCCTGAAGGGATTGGACGCACTCTTTCCAAGATCACACTATGTGACGGTACTGAAGGATCATCTTCACCCCATGTTGCAGAGTTTCATACCCGCCCGGAGAGGTGATTTCCAGGATGATGATTACCGCTTCCACAGAGCATGTGTGGTTACCCAGTGGTTTGATAAAGATATTATGGTGTTGAGTCACCAGATCATAGCACAGTTGAGCTTTTGTGGAATATTCTTGAGCAATGCCTGAGACAGCACTATAGACTTCCATCAAACAGGTGGCAGTTGATTGGCTGTCTCCTGGAAGAATGGTGCTGCATCCATTTTGAGAAGGTGCTATATAAAATAAAGTTTTTTATTATTATTATTATATCTCCTACAAAATTCCAGGCACTGGTAAACTTTATGGCAAACACAAGCCATACTGATTGCACATAGTGGCCCAGCACTCTAACAAGTGACTTTACACTTTTTTTGGTCAACTACATGTATAGTACAACTACTGTATACCACTATCACATTTTTCACTTACAGGATAAATTTAATATTTTCTCCTCCTTCTTACTTACATCCTTCATTGCAGAACAATCTAAAAGCTGTTGCAATAAAGAGACTTCTGTATTGGAGGCTCCATGGAGTTTGGCAAATTTGCAAAAACCTAGTATTTTGCAAGATGTTTACTTAAGTAAATTATGTGTAAGAAATGTATTTAGAAAGCACACCGAGTAAAGTACACAAAAACACCTACATTCCCAGGATTAGTGGTTCCATTATGCAAATGTTTCATTGAACACAAACCATGCATTAATCAGTTTAGGACAATGCCACTTATCCTCTTTGAAAAAAAGCACAGCTTAGAGTTTTATGGCGTGACATGCAAATCTGATTTAAAACAAGGCGTGTAGTTAATAATCCCATTATTATGAAGGGAAAATGAGAAAACAAAAACAAAGACGACAACAATACCTCTGTTTTTCTTGAGTGTTTAATGGTATCACTGTTTTTATGAGAAAAAAAACTTTCAAAATATACACCAGATGTGTACATACTGTAAAAGGGAAGGCTTTTTTGTGAATTACGCTGTACACATCAGGATACTGCTTCACTTCTTCAAAACTGTGAATAACCCTTATTTTTCCCAAGGATAAGAAAATCACAACAATGGTAGACTTAATTATATTAAAAGTAGTAAAACACCAAAACAAAATAAGATTTAACCAGTGCAAACTCATCCATTTAGCTCTTACGTTTATGTACTGTACAATATAAGCCCTGATCTGCAATACCCTCTTTATAAAATCAGTAAAATACCAACTGTAAACCCCCGACACTTCTACTTTGCTTCACCCAATAGATCAGATTTATCAATATTCCTTTCGTTAATGTCTCCCAGATTACTCATAAAATCAAACCCTCTTCTAACCCTGTTAAGACTCCATTATGATCCGTCAACTTCGTTCCTGTTCTCCAGCTGCAGTATTCACTGTTGGCAAAACTCAATTTAGTCAATGTAATGCCGTGCATTTAGGTTGACATCAGTCATTGCTGTGGAGTTGGTAGTTTAGTAGCTGAACAGGTAATTTTTCAGTTTCAGTGCAGAGTTATTAGTATATTAAGTAAGCATTTTCGTTGAGTCATGGATGTCATGCTTTTCACTTGTGATTTTGAACAAATGAATGCTATCACTTATTCACTATTTTCCATGTATACCAGTTTGTACATGAAAGGCAAATACATGCAGCTGCATAGATTCGTGTGCTTAATCAAGAGATAAAACTGTAACAAAACTACATATGCATACAAGCAATGGGGATGAAAAAAAATCAGAGGTATTCTGTGTTTGAATATGTTTGCTAAAATTACTCACAAATAGATGTACTTGGGATATTCAGTACACAATATATATGGCGAAAAACTAAAACTATTACAATAAACACTTCTGCCTGTAGGCTTTGCTGTTCAAGGTTGTCGTCATTAACTTAAACACCTTCACACAAAGATATTTACACTTGGAACTTTTTTTAATTACAAAAATAATCCAAATACATCCATGGACGTATGTTTAAACAGTTCATCTTAATCTTTTATTCAGACATAAATAAAGGTTTTATGTTTAAAATATGAGAAGGTGGACCAACCTAGTGGATTCACCAACTTTTTCTTGGAACTGTAGAATACAGATGTGTAACATGTAGTGATAGTATCTGGTAAAAAAAAGTGCTTTATTCCTGCTGTATCGAGACGAACAAATTGCATAAATATAATAAACAATTAACAGAAGAAATATGAAAGAAACACACTGAAAGTACTGTTATGTTTGATCATTTTTATTCAACCATATTTTCTCCCCACAATTAGACTTACATTATTGTTTTGGTTCATTATAAGAGACGCTCTGAAAGCTATTGAAGCACCTAGCTTCAATGTCCAGAGGCCATGTATATGTCATCAGTGTTAAAATAACTGATTTTAGCTTTGGAACATGATAAAAAAATGCAATCTGACTGTTTTGCAATCAAACACATCTATGGCTATTACAAAGATTTACACCTGACGTATACACATTTCTAATTTGCTTTTTTTTTTAAACTCGAAAAAGGAATCCAACAGTAGTGTATACACTATTTATTGTTCATTATTGACCTTGATCACAAACAGATTCTTGGATGTTAAAACAAATAACCTCTCATTTGTTGCTCTGAATCCCAGAACAGTATCACTGGAATCCAGGCTTGCAACCTGTTGCTTAGCAACCTGTCCAACTTGTCTTCCTTGCTTCCTGTTGTACAGCACTGTAGACACAGGGGAAGGCTGGCGGTATATAAATACTCGACGCAAGCACTCACACAGCGCAGCGTAAGAATAGTTTGGCGCACATGTTGAGAACTTTTTATCCCGCTTCGATGCTTGAACATACCCTGCAAACACAAGACAGCACATCAACAAAACCTCTGCAAATGTCAAGATGCATGACTCACCACCTAAAAAGGTACAGAGTTTCAATAAAGCAGCTGCATGTTTAGTATTTTTGTGGAAATGCAAAACTATAGCTTTCACATTATTACATTATTCAGTGAGCAGGATGGGCTGAATAGCCTCCTATCATTTGTAACCTTATTATGTTCTTATGAACTGACTGGATCCATTAAAGGAGGGGTCTCGAGGTACTCCGGTACAGCACCCACAAGTATCTAAGGGTTTGCTCACCTAAGGCGTTGAAAGTGGCCGCATGTTCCCACATGTTATCCTGCTCGTTAGCGTGGGGCTGCCACAGCAAGGCATCAACATCGTGGCGCAGGCAGAAACAAGGCATCTCGGATGGGCTGACGTCAACAGTGAATAGGTACTGATGGCTTCCGAGATTAACCTGATCGAGGAGAAAAAGATGGTAAACGCTACTCTCATAAGTCAAAAATCAACATCTTGCTTAAAACATTCTATAATCCCAAAAAAACTTTACAGAGTACAAAGTTGTAACTGAAAACTGACAGAATTCCTGAGAACACGAGTGTCGCATTTATTCCCAGCTCTTTAAATACAAAATAAAGATTCTGCAATAACACTATTC